ACGTGATTGCTTCCTTTCCTTGCTGTTTGAGAACCTGAACGTCACCACCCGTGTGTTATAACCAGAGCAGGTCCTATGTTGGGAAATCCTCAGCGGATAGGAGGTCGCACTTACCATTAGTCGCTGGAGGGTGGGGAGGTCGTATTTGGTCCGGGAAATTTTTTCTGACAGATTGGTTTTCCTGTTACATGGGCGCTATTCACATCGCTGATGGAATTCCAATGAGGAGAAGGGGTCGTGATTCTCGAGAATATTCCCCAGCGGCAGGACTTTCTATCATTATTACACTCGTTTCAAAAGTCAACAGAATTTTAAATGGGCGATCTTGCTGTGACGCCCGGTTGGTTTCAACCGTAGAAAAAAGCTAATAGCAAGCTGCTGGAAAATTGAGCAAAACCTTTCGTGACACGCCTAATCGAGCTATGTCTTCCAAGTAAGTCATTAAAGTGGTCCATCATTTGAGTAGTTTTCTCCGAAGTGCCATTGCCCTTTATGATTTCTATCATTTTCAGAATGGACTTCGTATGTCCTGACGGAACATCAGCCGCCATTTGGTTATTAAACGATGAGACTCCTTCTATCTATTTGTATAATCAACTGATCTGCGATGATGAGGGACAATGGCGGACTGTTGAAAATAGACATGCAGTGGAGGCTCTGAGCTGTATTACAAAAATAACGAATCTGTAGTAGCATGAATTAATAAAAGGCCTTGATGTGTCCTACTACATTTTGTATGCTACTATTATAAACAGCCAATTAGTGACACATACAGGGAACTGCTACCATGCAATGAAACTGCACAGCAACCTTAGGATCTTAGACAAGGATAAGAACTGCCTGTTCCTGGCCTGTTTCTGAAGCTTCAGGCAAAACACTTTGAATGCCTTCCCGATTCTGGAATTAAAGCCGAATGCATGGTGAGGGAAGATACCACCGAATGGTACCTATACCTACTTTTCGCAAGTGAGGTTCATGGGAGCATTCTGAGGCAGCAACAATTGGCAGGAATTACGGTTTGACTGCAGTTTAACTCAGCCCCCCACACGCCCTACTTTTTGAGGTTCATAACCGTATTGCGAGGCAAGACGAATACCATGTGTGCCCTATCTTGTGCCATGTCTAAATGAAAAAGGTAGCCACGCCACTTTCTTAGACGTATAGCGGGTTTCAGATGTAGAGCGTATTTCGTGCTGCCATGTTACGGATACCGTTGCGTGCATTAGAGTCTACGAAGGGAATGTGGCCCTAGCAAATTTCATTATGCGCGCTAAAAGTGAGAGCATAAAGATCAGCTGGGTCACTTTTCGCGACAGGATCCCCTTCTTGCAGTAATCGAGCTGCAGCTTGAAGAAAACACTTTGCAGTTTCGCTAGTGCCTTTTGTTAGCATTAGTTTTGTTATGAGATGACTGAATCACCTGTTGTCTCTCAGTGCCTGTAAAGGGCCGAACGGTGCGAGTAAGCCTTTCTGGTTATAGGGAAATTACAGCTCTTCACAAGGTGGCCTGTTTAAACTGAGCTGAGAACCATTTGGTGCCCCCACCAAGTGGAACTGCGCCTTATTTAAGTTGCTGGAGAAAAAATGAAGCATCTGGCCTTCGAAATTTTCGGCCAATTTGGTTCAATTTGGTCCAAAGCCGACTCTTCCATTGATGGTCTCTCTCGAAAATCTTCGTATGGCGGACTGTGATCATTAAAAGCGCTTCGAGCATCTTCACATGGCGAACTATGATCATTGAAAGTGCACATTCCGTCTCTGAAATTCTTTGAAACATAGGATGATCTAGAAAAATCCTGTCCGAAAAGGGAACTCCCTTCCCTTCGGGCCTTAGGGCCTTCTTGTCTTCACCGTTTGAGACATTTATCGCATCGTACAAGCTGCAACGTCATTCAGTCTAGCCATTTTCTTCCTAAGTTTAACTGTACTTTCTATTTTTTTCCAACGTAAGTTGTGTTGGGTTGATTGTATAGGGTATTTAGACGTGGATTCTTTTTTGTTTTTGTAATGGAGTGTTTTTGTGATTTTTCATTCATTTACTTAGTTGTTTGTTTATTTATTTAACAGTTTGCAATAACCAGAAAAATCTCAATCATAATTTACCTTGTGAAGACAAGGAACAACTAACCTCAAGAAAAGCAGCCAAAAACAGTGAAAATTAGGGAGAAAATGGCTAAATAGGCTGGAAACAGCTGATCGCCGCGGTCGTGACGCGCGCAGCCTGCGTCTGCGATCCTTTGACCGCCTAATCAACTGCCCGGATGACGACTGTAATTGGTGAGCTAAATGTCTATACCTTGGACTTGAATGGGCTGCTTGCGACTTCATTTGCTTTTAATGACAAAAAGCAAAAAAGAAAAGAAGCACGCGAATTATGAGCACTACCGTGGTTAGCAAAATTTGACCCGCAGTTTGAATTTATGTCCGCCACTTACGAAGCAACAACTGAGCGCCCTGCATTTGCGTAGAACGAACGTTCTTTGGTAGGTGGTTAACGCGAGCGAGTGGCACAACTTGAACCTACAACCTCTGCAGCACTTTTGCCACTTACTGCAGAGTGGTGAAAGTAGGACAATCTCTGAGTCTGTGGACTGGAATACTTGTCCAAGGAAAGACGTGTACCGGTCGAGCACGAACCGTCTCCAACCCATTGCGACAATGTCCGCCACTGGTGGTGGACACTGAGATGTCCAGGGAAAGAGGGGAAAGAGGATCACGTCTTCCCACAAAGTCACCTCGTCACTAGAGCAAGAAGGCTAAAAAGAAGCGCTGTACATGATTGGGGCTCTGATTGAGTGGCCCATAGAAATAAATCTTAGGCCGAAAAGAAGCTTTTAATACCTTTTAAAAATTACAGCTATAATACAGTTCATTCATAATCTCCCCCTGATGTTGGTAAGGGAACAAGCCTAGTACTTTAGGCTGATTATAAGGTGTGGTTCGAATCCGTGAAATATGCATCCCCTGGGTGGGGAAACGTCTGGTGCCTGCGCCAGCGACAGAATATCTCCAAGAACCAAAGTTACTGGAAACTATCTCTCAGGTGCAATGACTCTTCTCAGCAGGAGTTTCTCACTAGGCTGACACGAGAACTGATGGAGTGCAAAGCGCTCTGGCACCAGAATTACCCGTGACGTTGGAGCGGTGGCTTTGACGTCACGGGTAGTTCTGACGCTTTGCTAGATATTTCCGCTTAAACGGACTTGATGCTTGCTTTCAGAAGGTCAAATTACTCCCGGTGACAAAAGTTTTGATCAGATTTAACCTTTGAACAACTTCCATCGAAATCTGGCATGAATTCCCACGAGTGGGTGACTAGGAGATTAACTCGAATCGGGGAGAGGAAGAGTTACTAATAAATTCTATAGTTTTGCAGGATTCTGTTTCTGTCCATTATTCAAGTTCTTTTTTTTGTTGTACGTAACACGGACACAACGGTAATTCGAGTATTAATGAAGTTCTGTCTACTTTTCAGACTGTGCGCTTTGTGAAACAGTATATCGTGTGAGCTGTTCTCAAACAAGCATGTGTATGACGGCAGCGGAAGCTTCAGTGAAAATCGTGAACAAATCACTTAATCACGAATGCATGTGAGTGCACTCCAAAAATCGAGGTAGATTCAATGTTGATCACTGGCGATGGGGAAAAATCCATGAGGAAATCATAAGAGAAAATGATAGAGAACATGTTCACCGTTGTTGGAGAGGACTGAATTCTTGAAGACGTTTCTCTCTTTTGTGTTTTCGTTTGGCATTGAGCCAACTTAGCAACCTAGGTCTTAACTCTGGAGAGAAATGGTTAAACAGCTTATAGTTTCTTAAACATTACAACAATGCTGCGTCAACAGGTTAGCGCTCTGCTCGTTATTTTTCGGGACAAGGCGGATAAGAATATTTAAGAGAAAGCATGCCTTATTTCGATCACCGACTCACTCTGACGATCAGTTATCAGATCTCTTTCGCCTATCAAAACTAGCTAGCAGAACCATTTTATAGTCTCCCTATCATTAGTCTTGTCGCGGTATTTACCTGGTTTTTGCAAAATATTTCGATCGGCTTAGACTTGTTTTGAATTTTACAACAACATTTATTTTGGAAAAATCTTTGCATGTACTCTTGGATAGACAGGGTCGTTTGAACTAGTGCAAAACTTGGCATTTTTCCTCCAAGTTTCTTCATTTGACTTTCCTTGATGCAAACAAGCTGCTCGTTTTCATTGCTTGGCAGCTGAAGCCAAACAGTGTTCAGCACTATTTAGCCTTCACTACCTTGCTGCTCGAATTTTGTGTGAGATTCTCATCGGATTTTCTTCTACGAGAGCAGAACAGTTTGTTGATGAGAGTTACTCTGATTTGATTACCTAGGGTAATCTAACACTTGTTTCAGTGTCAACCGGCTCCAATTCACAAACAACTCAGCTCACTGAATACCTTGAATCCTAGTCTCCCGAGGCACTGACATCCTGAATAGAAATATCATGTTCAGCTAAAGGGAGAACGTTTGAAGCCCTTGCTATAGTCGCCGGTGCCATACAGTGGACCAGCGTAGTCATATACTTCAAGCTCCCTGAATACGTATTATAGGACAAAGCTGCGCATTTGAATAGGACTGTTTTGATGCTATCCTGTCTATTGGTGACTGCCGTTTTCAGACTTGGTGTGTCCTACCGGCACATTCGCTGTGGTTTGGCTATCTGACCGGACACTTCCATCCGTCTACGCGCACAATCAATTGTTTTGCGACTGTTACACTGGACAATGGCGACCTGTCGATAGTCAAAGTGTGCATGCAGTGGAAGCTTTAACCTGTATTACAAGAATATTGGATCCTTAGATGAGAGAGATGAGATTGGCTAGGACCCCTTGATGTGTTTTGGTAACGAATCAGAACTTTTGTTTCACTAATCCTGTTTTCATATTATCATGCAAATATACAATTTCTACCTCCAGAATCTATCCATCTAGCTAGTTTTCTTTCTGAAGACTTTTAGCGCAAGACGAGGGAAGTTCCAGACGGAACGTTGAGGTATAAAGGCAGCCGAGGCCAACTATTAGGTTGTCCGGAAAGTTCTCAGCGTTTTGTGCACCTATTTTTTGTACATTCATGATTAAAAACTCATTCTGCCTTGCTTCTCAGTAGCACATCCTGTAGAGAATTTCTTGCGCTATCTGATGGTATAATTGCCGTTTCACCATTGCTTGATAAACCCCCTTTTTAAGATTTTTTCAAGCATGTGAAAAGAGCACTTCGGACGATTTTTTTCTTCGACTATAAATTGGGGCAATCCGCAATCGAAACAGCTCAACAAATTAACCAGGTGTGGGGGCCCAATAGTGCTAGAGAAAGCACTGTGCGGCAGGCTAGAGAAAGCACTGTGCGGCAATGGCTCAACAAATTTCGTTCTGGAGATTTCAGCCTTGAAGATGAACCTCATAGCGGTCGACCTAAAGCAATATCTGACGAGGATTTTAGGGGGATTTTGGAGGCTGACCCATCCCAAACAGTTCGAGAGATAGCAGAAGAGCTAGGCCTTGGCAAATCCACTGTTGCAGATGGTCTGGAACGCATTGGGAAGGTGAAAAAACTCGACAATTGGGTGCCCCACAATCGGAGTGACCGGCAGGAATCGGCACGTCTCGAGGTTCCTTCTGCATTGCTTTTGCGCAGCAGAAACGACCTGTTTTTGGGCCGAATTGTCACCTGTGATGAAAAATGGGTCATGTATGATAACAGGAGACGTTCCGGACAGTGGTTGGATTTCGACCACCGAGGTAATTTTCAAAGCCGAACCCTCACGAAAAAAGATTCTGGTCACGGCTTGGTGGTCATCGGCTGGTGTGATCCACTATAACTTTTTATCACCAGGCCAAACCATCACAGCAGAACCCTACTGTGAAGAAATCGACGAATTGTACCGAAAATTTTGTCAGATGCAGCCAACACTTATCAAAAGAAAGGGTCCGATTCCTTTGCATGACAACGCCCGCCCACACGTTTCACAAATCACTATCCATAAATTGAACGAATTGGGGGTTGAAGTTCTACCTCAACCGCCATATTCTTCAGACCTTTCGCCAACCGACTATCACCTTTTCAAACATTTTCAGAACTCCCTTGCTGGAAAATACTTCATCAATCAGGACCAGGCAAAAAAGCCTTCGTGGATTTCGTGAATTCTCGACCACCCAGTTTTTTACTTTGATGGGATTTCTCGACTGCTGTCACATTGGCAAAAGTGTGCTGATTCGAATGGTGCCTATTTCGATTAAATCCGATGAGTATTAAAAAAGTTACGATCGTTTAAAGTGAAACACCCAAAACGCTGAGAACTTTCCGGACAACCTAATAAAAACAAACCTGCGGATGTTTCTACAGTGCCCTGAATGTTTCTGCAGCGTTTCTAATGCTTCTTTCTAATGTGTCCGGTCTCCTCATCAGAGAACATTAGTCTCTCAATAGCCTCAGATTACACCAAATTGCTTCTTCGGAGAGAAAAGCAAAGAAAGGCAAAGGAAAAGAGGGATCACCGCTCTGGACACTTTTAGATGTGGACTTATCAATGTCTTACCCGACAATTTCTGAACTATCGGCTTTGTCGCGGCGATTTCGCCATCTTCATTCGTTGTGTCGCAGCTGAATCCGCACCAGGGCACATCGTTGGTTGGGGAATCCCCAACAGGGGGGTCGTATTTGGCCGCCAGGAGAGGGGGGGGGTCGTAGTGAGTGCGGCAGCCAGTAACGAGCAGCGCAAATTGTCAATGTGCTGAGTCCTGTACAACGAAACTTGCTTTGTAGAGAACTCGGATATGCAAAAAAATAGTACAAAACTTTCATTCATCAAACTAATCCGAAATAACTGCAAATATTAATAAGTCGACATTATCTCGTAAGTCCGTTGGTAAACAGTACAACTCAAACTCTGGTTCGCTGCCAATGATATGGCGTGTCCGCGGTCGCGCTTGGCGCTGAGCCAACCTGTTTTTTTCTCGACAAGCGAGGACTACCATATCGTTCGTATCAGACGTTTTCCAGCAGTTGGTCTCCTTTATCGGAGTCAGCGATTGGCGGAGCACGAATCTGGCAGCGTCGACAGGGACATGTTCCATCATACGCAACGGAAAACACTGTAAACAAGTGCACAGGCTCGCCATGGACCTCCCTGAACCTTATAGACACATTTGCTCGCGTGAACAGACATTACGCACAAGTTGCACCATCCCATCACCTCTGCGCGGCCCTCAGTGCGGCGCATCCAAAGTTGGCGTGATCGGCGCTAAACGAACCATATCCTGCTCCTGCTCCACCACAGGATACGTTCTACATGCGTTCCTGGCTATTCGAACACGCTCACTTGAAACGGTACACAGGAAACGGGTTTTTCGCGCAGCTGGGAGTGTTCCTCAAGAAATCCCCATAGCGAGATCTCATGAATCCCGAGAGCTTCAGAAACAGTTCAAGAGGTTTTTAGAAAGAGAAAATCTTCAAACACTCGAAACCGTTCTCAGATTTGTGAAATGTTGAGTTACAAAAAAATATATTGATTCAAACCTGTTCAGTTGAAATCACTCCCCAACGAATCCCTATGGCAGATTTCTCTGTGATTTTTGCGACCTTCATAAACGTTTCAGTACTTTTAGGAAGTGCAAACCTTCCTCTACACGAGTACGGTCTCCTCTTCCCCACAGGTCCGCTTTTGAGGAAGTTATGGTCCTTCAAAGACACCTAACTCAGCTGGAAATTCTCGCTCCATGGCTAAAATTGCCGAATAATCTCCTGTCACAGCCGCAATTACATGCGCTTCTGCTACCGTACTCCAATAATCGGGGTAATGCATTTTTACGGCGGTTTGTATAACTGTTACGTAGTGAGACAAGCCTAACTTTCTCTTTTCCTCGTCCTCAATCTTGGGAATAGACGTTGTTAACACTGTGGTCGCTGATGGCCGCTCCCAGAGAGGGAGTCCACCTCAGGTTAACGAATGCTCATTGAATTTAATCGCGATATATCGTTATTATTACCATGTGTGTTTCAAAACGGCCATCGAAGAAGTTCATCATACGAGTTTCTCATAATACGATTGTACCGTTTTTTGTTTGCAATCATCTCTGTATTGTTCTATTATGTCATGACTTCAAGTCGTCCATTTAGTATGGGCACCTTCATACAAGTAGAATTTCATAGTGGGCGTTTCATAGTTTCATTTAAGGCGAAAAAAACCGAACGGCAAAAAAAGGGGGGGGTCGTACAGGCTCGACCAAAATCCCCATCGAATGCTGTGCCCTGATCCGCACGCTCGAGTTTGTTTGAAAATAAAACTGCACATCCGATGAAAGAGGAGAACCGAAGATGCTTTCTGGCCATTGTACCACGTTGAAGCGAGAGAGCGCTTCCGGCAACAGTCGATGCAATTGATATTTTCGTCAATAAGTGGTGTTATCGATTAATCAGCGGTACTCGCCCGAAGACATTCCTATAAACTCGCCATAGAATGCTCTACTCAGAGAAAATCACATCCATCGGAGCAAATGGACACTTTTTCAA